CCCTGTAGTTAATCTGTAGCTGTGTTTGCTCCTTGAAGCAGAACCAGGATGCCCAGCAGAACAAGGAGGCTCATAAGAGAGTAGAAGTCTCACAGACCAGTAAGGTAGACATAGCTGAGCAAGATGGGGTTGACCGAATCTATCTAGACCTCATCCCTGTACAGTCTTTTCTGCATGGTTGCCCCGGGAAGAAAGACCCTCCTCACTCGAGAGAGCGGAGCCCCAGTGACCATCATCAGGAGAAAGCGTCAGCGAGCCAGGTAAGCAGCACACATCCAAGTCATACAGGGTTCGGTGATGTTCAGGGGAGACCGGTGCAGAGGAATGCCGTGACCTCAGGGGGCCACGCAGCTCCACGCTCTCTCTGCCACAGCTTCCATTCGCACCGTAACTTTCCGGAGTCTCTCTGGTTTCTCTAGCTTTCTCTCATGGTCCAGGCCGTGGCACTTGCTGCCGTCTCTCCCAGTCACCCGCCATGTGTCTGTGACGTTTAACCCTAAACCTTGTATGTGCTGCCTCTTTTCCCCTCTGCTCTCAAGGATGTGTCCCCTCCCATACCCGAACCAAGGCCTCCACACACGCTGGTCGTTCCCTCTCAGCCAGCAGCCGCTGTTCCCCAGCTGCTGTCCAGACCTGAGCCAGAGTCGGCTAGCCCCCGCAACCGGGTCCACTCCCAACCTGCAAAGATGTCTCTCGCCAGCCCGGAGCCCCTCAAGAAAGCCATGTGCAGATCAAACAGCCCTCAGCCCCACAAACAGGGCAGGCCCAGCTCCGAGGGCCTGGACCGGCCACGTGTTGCTGCACCTGCCGAGATAAAACTGGGCAAGAATCGCACAGAGGCCGACGTGCGGCGCTTCACTGATGAACGGGACCAGCTGGAGAGGGAGAAGGAGCAGGTGCGGAACCAGCTGGCCATGCTGCGTGGACAGAGGAAGGAGCTGAAGGAGGCTCTGGCTGCTGCCCGAGGTAAACGCCGTCCCCAAAATGCCCTCTAGTGGTAACATATAGGTAAACACTGGCCCCAAATGCCCTCTAGTGGTAACTTATAGGTAAACACT